CCCCCCCCCCAACGGCTTAACGAACGGCGAAACACAGGCGGAATCCGGCGACGGGGTAGGGGGGAGCCTGGTGTCCGCCGCCACCGGCCGGTGCATGACCGCCGGGTGGCCCTTCTTCACCGGAGCCGCCTTCGAGATGAGCGACGCCTCCAAGGACCGCTACGGCAAGGACTACGCGGTCGTCTTGCTCAACGAGGCGGAGGAACCGGTGGAGTTCGACCTCAGCTTCCCGTCGGAAGGGTTCTCGGTTAGGGCGATGATCGGGCCCCGCGCCATCCAGACCATCCTCGCCTAAATTAACGCCGAGGCTTTTTTTGGGATGTGGCCCTTTCGAGTAGGTCGGCGTTCGCGTCCTCGCGGTCTTGTTTTTTCGGACGTGACCTCCCGGGACAAAACATGACCGTCCCCGGGTTATCACTTAGGATACAGTCGCTCTTAGTTGAAAGGTTTCAGGGGGGCACCACAGCTGGGGTAGGGGCCTCGAAGACCGTAGAGGGTAGTTAGTGGTGAGGTGGTAGGCTGTTCGGGAACAGCCGGAGCGGATTTCGTCTGACGGGGCTATGGCTCCGCCACTTAGAAGCACAGCAGCGGTAGATAGCGGTGTTGGGTTCTTTGGGCCGGCCGTCCAGACGACTTTTAGCCTCTTCTTCGATAGAAGCGCAGCTAGCGGCAGGTACTGCCACGACGCGCAGCGAGCTGGGCCATCTGGCCTCGTCCGGTTTTCTGCGAACCTGGTTTCGCGCGGTGATGGATTGGTGTAGGCATGTACGGATGTGGGTGTACACTAACAGTGACGGAGGGGGGTGAAGAGGGAACAATTGAGTTGGGGACCCAGCCTCCGCAGAGTTTGTTCCTCTCCTCCCCATTCACGGACCCTTTGAACCAAGGCGTGTTGATACCTTCTGCTAGAAAGAAAGACGGATTAGTGCGTCCAAATAGTAACTCAGTCAAGTGATACGAAGTACCTTGATAGCAATGACTTCTGCCGGCGTGCAAGAGTGGCATCCGCCGGGTGTCGATCAGACGGGCTTCCCTTCTGCGGAGGATACCCGCGATGAATCTTGTAGTTCGTTGGGGTTAGGCCTTGGTAGCAGCTTTGCTGTCGGCGATTTCGGAGTGAATCGTGGTCGTTTTGATTCTACCCAGCCTGGTTTGTTATTCCGGGGTTCGACCTTTAGACGGTGCGATTACATCGATGTTTACAAGTCAGCGAGGCAGCAGCATAGATTTGTGGGTGGAGGCACGAATGCAAATAGACTTGTCTAGTCTCAGGTCAGGTGAGAGTCAGTTCACAATGTTTCCAAGAGGGGCTTTGTCTGCGAGGAGACATAATATTGTTAGAATACAGTGTGCAGGACACATCGCCAATGAAATCAGTTGGACCTAGGTACCAAATGTGGATACCGCGCTCAATAAGAGGTAGGGTAAGACGTGGTCTCCAGCAAGAGCGGGGATGCTGCTGCTGTCTCCTCCTTCGCTTTCGTAGATCCGATGAATAGATTCGATGAATAGATCCGTTCAGCCCAGCCGAGCGAAGAAAGGTGATAATGTCAAAAGGCCCAGAGAAAATATTTCCCGGACAGTTGGGGTTGTTGTTGTTGTTGTTTCTCACATTAGCTCTGTAGTCCACAAAAATGGGAGCTCGTGGTCACAAAAACCCGGAACGTACGACGCCGCGGGGAAATAAAAAAAAAATAGGGTACAAACCACTCGGAAAAAGAAGACAAAGTGATAGAAAGGAACGAACAGCCACAAGCTGGTTCACGCAAGAAACCCCAAATTTGGTCACCCACTGATAATGGACGCAGTTACTCACCGATCAACAAAAGTATTACACCAAAGTGACCCCCACGCTTAGCCTAAGACGGTGACATAGCTGGCATTTCCAAGAACACCTTTTCTACGGTGGTTAGGCGGACTTATGTGTCTTGGCCAATCAGCGGCCTTCACGCTGTTCGAGACTCAACAACTCAAAATACCAATGCAACACGAACCTTCTTCGGCCTAAGTTCAACCTCAAAAGACCTTCGAGCTCTAGGGAATCCAGCAAAAAAACAGAAGTGAAAACGGCCACCGTTGGAGCGAGTTACGCCCCTTTGGCCCAACGGTGTTGTGGCCCTTTGGCGTCGTCAAATGGCCACCGCTTGTACGGAGCAACCGCCCAGAGAGCATCAAAACGGTTTCCATCGTATATGTCTGAGGAAAGCTTGGATCGTCCCCAAATTTGGCAGCTTGACAGGTATTGATGCTTCGAATCCGAAAAATATTCTTGAACACTATTCATTAAGGTTTCGCGCTCCTACCGGCTTATCGGGGTCTAACGGATAGGACCCCTGGAAGCCGGTATATATGTCTCAAATAAAAAAAAATCGAATTCTGTCGGCTCCGGCGTAGGGTGTTGAAGGATTGTACAAACTTTCGTTGCCCAAGGGGAAAACTGAGGTAGAGCGGTCGATTCAAGCGTAAAGTTGTGCCCAAAAAGCTGATTCAATTCTAAATCAAAGTAAACAAGAGGTTCGCAGAGGAAATTTCAGGTTCTTGTTGCAAAAATCAAATCCTTCGTTGGGGGGTTTTGGAGATAGGACACCAAATTTTGCACACTTGTCCGCAAGGTCGACACCAAACTTTTCACTAATGGGGTTTTTCGATGTTTTTTATTCGCCGAATATTCAGGGTCCAGCGCAGCCTTCCTGTACGTGCGGGACCCCGATTATTCGGCGAATTAACAAAAACCCCACGCGTGAAAAGTTTTGTATTGACCTTGCGGACAAATGTGCAAAATTTGGTGACCTATCTCAAAAAACCGAACGAAGGATTTGCGAGGGAAAAAAAATGTTTTTCTTGCGTGAACCAGCTTGTACCGCACCGACCGGTCGAGAAAAGGGCCCTAGGAAATCGATCAAACTGAAACAAAATAAAAAAAGATGAGTGAAGTAGGGGGACTCAACACGTTTTATTTGTGGTCAGGTCGTAAACGAAGAACGAGACGCACGAAGTCGCGCTGTCGGGGCTTTTAATCGGAGGCTGCAGCTGCGTTGCTCAGAGTCCGCAACTGATCCTGGGGTCCGAATTTCCTCCACTCATCTTCCACTACTGCCCTCACTCTTCGAGAGAGCCTCAGTCAGTCGTAGCCGGACCTATGCTACCGAGAGGACCAAATGCCGCTCACCGTCACATCTTTGCGTAGTGTCGTGGGGTACTTTTCTCCACGAAAACACGATCCACAGACGTGTATTGGGAATTTTTGGCTCGGGGGTCACCGTGGAATTGAATTCGTGCGTGTTTTGCAGTCGGCAACAACGTTTACAGGGGAGAGGGTCCCAGGTGTTTGTTTGGCTTGTCGAGTCGCACGGGCTGTTATCTCTATTTCCATTGCCGCTGCCATCCACTACACATCACTCTGTTGTGCTCTTACGATGTAATACTACGCGATATATCTACCACTGCTGCACCTGTCCTTTATCAAAGCTCTAAATGATATTCTCAATACATTGGATTTTCTCAAATCACCCCTCTACAGCAGTACTTCTTTGGAAGTTCCTCCGCTCTCCCCCGTCCAAGGCCACATGATAACGAGTTACATCTTCTACTTGTCCCTGGTTTTTTTGCCTGGCAAGTAGGAGAATCTGGCGAAGCTTTCACGACGCGACAAACATCTCTAAAACCTTGTGGGCACCTTGATTGAGCTGTTTCCCTACATTGTCATGTGTTCACCAAGCCAACTCTAGACCCACAAGTCGAAGTGCGATTTTCGGTGAAGGCTTCACGAACGAGCCAAACTCTCCTATTGGTACACGGGTTCAGCCGCGTTTCTTACAAAATATCGGGCCTGTTTTTTTCTACACGTGCAACTGCACGCCACCAGTGTGCGTGCAGGAGTCCGTCGGTGTGGCCGACGACACCTCTAGTAAAAGTGGTAAAACCCAGCAGAGATTTACAAAAAAAAAAAAAGTGGAGATCTCTTCGTAGGAGTACAATCTCTCAACGTCCGTCGAAGAAGATATACCCTCTTTTGACATTTGCGTCAAGGAAGAGATTCGAACTCTCGCGGGCATAGCCCAGATAAGGAGAAAATATCATCAAGACGGAGGCTTGCCGTTGGCCATGATGAACATCGGAAGCAGCCAGTCAGGCACGAAACTGGTGTCGATTTTCGTACTCTCCGGCAAAATCTTGGGGAAGAGGTAGGTAGGGAGCAGGAAACGGAGAGATCGGATAGAGGGCGGCGTGTCTCCTCCAACGTCCGTGAAGCCGTACTGCTTGGCTAGCTCGGCCACGACTTGCACCTGGGTTGGTTGGCAGGTTGGGCAACGGCACAAGAGAGAGAGAGAGCAATCAAAACAACAGTCAAGAAAAATATTGCTATCCCGTAGTCGGAGATCAGCACCTGGTTGGCAAAACTAGAACAAACAAGAAAATGGTGCAGAAGTCTAGTTCTTGATGGAAGAGTGGACGGCGACGACGATGCTACCGACGGTACATATTCCGCACGTTACCCTGCCGAGCTTAGTCTAGTCTACATGCGACGACTTTGACAAGATCTATCCTGCACGTACGCACGTGCATTGGAGCCAACACCCTCATCAGAACCTGGTTGGTTTTCGTGCCATCAACGACAACTTATTCCGCACCTTGCCAGTCTTCTTTAGGATCTCGGGGTCTGCCGCGAGCGCCGCCACCGCCCGGCCCGTGAAGAGAGGTGTCTCCATCGGAGAGCTCAACGCGATTCCCGTCTGTCGTACGAAAAAAAAATGGAGTCACCGCTGATTACGCGGTCAAGAACTTAGCCAGGCAGTCTAACACTATGTATGCACGAGGAGGATTTTTGTGCCCCCCCCCCCAACCTCCCCCATCGGTGATCGGTCCTGTGGGAACAATGCTCCGTCCTCTCGAGCCTCTCGAGGACGCGTGGTCAATGGTCTAACCGCTAAGACACGCAAAACATAAGAGTACGCCCTCCCAACCTCCCCCGCCGCTGCTGTTGAAGCGCAATTCAAATGTTCATTGCGAGTGCCTCTACTATATGGTGAATAGTACAGCGTCTCAACATGCGTAAAGGTGCGTGGTGTCTGGTGAACAAGGAACGCGATGAGCACACGCCCCTACCCCTTTACGTGGTGGAAGCTCATACGCTTCGGGAGACTCACTCTCCGGTCAAATAACAACTCACTCATGTAATGGCTGCTCGCTGCAAACCCGTTGTTTGAAAGAGCTACTAGCCTGACCACCGACTGCCGAACGGGCCCCCAGTTAAGAAATATTTCGCTACGGTACGGTACGGTACGGTACGGTACGGACCCGTTACGAAACAGAGGCTGAACTTCTCACGATAAATAAGAAAATAGGGTGAAGAAACACAGCTCAGCGGGCGGATCCTCCACTTAGTTCTATGCAACAACCCGTGCTCGATAGCAGTGGCGACGAAAAAATAAGAAACTGAACCCAGACCCGATTTTGACCTTTCTTGTCTCCGGGCCAATTCTGCATAGGCCGTTCTGTGTAGGATTTAGTATGGTATAGTATAACCTAAATATCGCCTACTGTATAGGATTTAGTGTTGTGTACATAAACTTGTATTCGTGACGACGGGACCCTCCCCAGAATGTTGGGGTGTTGGGTCTCTCACATTCGCCTCGAATTCTGCAGGGTTCTTCGTCATCAAGCTCTTCATCTTCTCAGTTTTGACGATCCCAGGGTACACGGATACCACGGCCACCTTCTCCTCTTCCAGCTCTGTTCGGCGAGAAGCAAGAACGCAGGGAAGGAGAGATGCAGATTAATGTGGTTTGTTGTTGGATTGTGAGTAGACATCGCTTCAGCGCTGAAAATCTTACCTACGAATTTGAGCTAGAGATGTTGAACATGTGCGCGTTGAAAGCCCAAAGCGTGCAATCACCAAGTACTGTTGTTGTCGTCGTCCTCGCCTTGCCTGTGAAGGAACCCTTACAGTAGTACTCTACCGGCCAGCCCTACAAACTCCGCACAGGCTCACGACATAAGAGAGCCGAGCAAACTTTCACTTCAACATCGCGCGAGAAACTCGAACTCAAACCATCGCAGGAAAACGTGAAAAAGGACTGAGGTTTCTCGCTTGCTCACCTATCGCCATGTCCTTCGCCAGACGGTCAACCCCAGCCTTCCCCACGCCGTAGGCCACGTTGAACCTTTTAGTGGGCGGTTGCCGAAGCGAAAACAAAACGAAAAACGTGGTACGTTGGTTGTGGAATGTGGAAAAGACCGCGAAGGTACATACGGTTCGTGAGGAGAACGGTGCGAGACCTGACAGGAAATCGGCCTCGAGTTGAGCAAGCAAAATCTCGGTTTGGTCCCGGGGGGGAAGGTGGGACCGAGCGTATCAAGACATGCACTAGAGTACGGCTCCGTCAGCAGGAAAAACAAAATGTGATTCCGAACAACATGGAAAAAAGCAAAAGAAGCAACATCAAACTACCCCTTTTGAAATGATCTGCATGAGGTGTGACAGCCACTCCCGATCGAATGGCTCTAGGCAACACAGAATCTCTCTCTCTCTCCTTCTCTCTCTCTCTCTCTCTCTCTCGCTCTCTCTTTCTCTCTCCCTCTTTCTCTTTCTCTCCGCCTGTTGGTTGGTTTCAACCCTCGCTAGGGGATCGAAAACGTGAAAACGTCCACAAAGTTGAGATTGTAGGACTCTCGTCACATCCTCTCCTGTACCTCTAACAACGGCCGTGTACAAGAGCGGAAATTCCAACATCCAAGAATGAGAGGATGCAAGCTTTGCTCAAGACCTTGAGAAGAGGAGGTCAACAAGTGGATACATTGTTCTTCTCTGCGGCGCGCCCATTTCATGGGCCTCAGTACTTCAATCGCTGACTGCACCCAGCACAAGGGAGGCGGAGATGGCTTCAATCTCCAATGCAGCACGAGAATGCCGCCACATTCAGGACATGTTGTCGGAACTCGGATTCCTCAATCAGTTCGGCAACATTCGGATCGGAAATGATTCGACGGATGCTCTATCGCTAGTGAGAAACAACTCTTACAGCGCCAGGACAAAGCACCTTCAGCTGCGGAAATGGTTCACAACGGAGCTCATCGAAAGCAAACGCTTGAGCGTATACCACGTCCCGTCAGGAGATCTACCTGCCGACCACCGCAAGCTCGTCGATCAGATTCTGGCTTATTCAACCACGGAGTGAGTAACTTCGGAGCAGCCAGGAAATCCATCTAGAACTTGGTCTGGGATTACTATACCATGGCACGAACAGGGAAAAACCATCTGCACGTGCAACTACTTGGGGCGAGTGGAATATTTCGAGACATCATCCATGAATAGACATCGGACGCACATGTCCGGTCGCACGCCACGGGGACTGGACGTAATGCGAGCTCAGGCTGGAGGATGTGCCCTCACGCCTTCATTCCACTTTCAGCCATCATCTCCTCAATTTTCAATCGACATCTCCAAGTTCTACGAGATGTCGAGGTTTTCCCAAAAGAGGACATTCGAGGGTACTCTTTAAGTTTTTCAAGACGGACGCGCTGTGCGAAGTTGAATCGCAGAATAGCGCACGGATCGACGCTTCACGCGACGACATCAAGGAATTGGAGCAACAACGCGAGCCCATCCTCGAGGAGTTACAGTCCAGGACCAAGAACGATGACAAGACCGACAACAGAATGTTTCAAGATTTCCTGGAGAACGCTTTACCGCCATCTCCAGAACAAGCAAGGAGGCACGACTACACGTCCAGCAGCAACATCATCTCGGAAGATGACTCAGAGTCATTCAGTGGAGATGACAGCAACCACAATAGCAGACACAAGAAAAAAGGCAAGAGCAAGTCCAGGGCAGATGTAGCCTTCGCGAATTCGATGTTTTTCAACTTGAGTTGGGGATGGCTTGGCCATCTAATGGCCAACGTACTGTTTTCGTCTCGCTCTTCTGCTGAGCGGATCTGGATCGTTTTACGTGACGCCGGAATTTTTTCTTGCAAGGTCCGTGTCTTCCATTATATTTCGTGCAAGCCCGATAGTATTGCTGATGCTAACTTGATCTAATCAGTGATAGATGACGAAGTATGGACGACCCTGATCCAGTTGTGGATATCAGAATCACTGAAAACGGGTGTCCTTGTTTTCAGCATTAAACGTGCGCAGGAAACCAAGGCAACTCTGCGTAGCCGAGCCGAGTTTTTTTCCGTTACTCCTCTTCCCGAGGAAACGCTGGACGATTTTGGTCGGGACATCGATTATTTTTTCTTGTTATCAACCATGGAGATTTTTCCCTCCATGATAACCGGTAGCCGGGACAAATGCGTTGTTGCGACTACATCGAAATTCGTATTTAGCGAATGTCATTCTAGGGGGTATATCTGTGACTGCATCGTAACTCATATTTCGTTGATGCTAATCGAGGGGATGTCTGTGTGTTCATGATAATAATGATTGGAGCAATGCAATAGGTATGTAAAAGTTTGTTCATTGATTACGTACCCAGAGCGAGCGGTGACAATTTTTCTGTCACGGATACGCATCCATGAAGAATTTTCGGCACGTTGTGAAATTTCGCAGCATCTCAGCATCTCAGATATTCAGTGCAAGCTGTTCGTAGATTATGGACATTGCTTCATTGAGGGGGCATGTTGGAATATTTGGCACTACCGTAGCTTGAGCATGAGGTAGCCACTTTGACTCGTTCAAACATCAATATTGTCAATGTCGCTATATCATGTCGTCGGTAAAATTCCGTGTGGTCTGTCATACTCGTTGGTTGATGTTCTACGTTTCATATCCAGAACATGCTAGTCTAGATTTCCAGAAATCAATCAAACCAGAATTGGAGTTCAAGTAGCTCAGCCTTGCGCGCTTGGAAATATATGCATCGCCTAGTTGTCACAAGACTTGTGTGCGTGAAAGGAATATATACCGCCGCAAGTTAATCAGACTTGCGTGCTTGAATGAATGAGTATTCGTATGCGCTCAGCAGCCGAATTTGGAAGTAGTTCAGTGCAAGTAATCATGAGTGCTTGTAAGTCAGTACTGTATGCATACGAGGCAAGTTCGAGAGCATGGTGTTGAAGCCAAATTTTTCAGAAACGTATCTTAGCTTACCAGTATCGTATTCTGGACACGTGTGATTGGTCGAAGTTGTCGGATAGGTGTTATTACATGATTTCGAGGATGAGCGCGCACTCGCCCAATCCTCTCACTCTACTCCTTTGGAGTTCTTCTACCCTCCCTCCACTTTTCTCGGGTACTCTTACCCTCTTCTTTTCTAGAGAGATCCACCTCTGTGGTTTTGACTCTGTTTCTCTACATTCTTTCTGGTCTCCACTGGTCAAGTGACTACATTTCCACCGACCCATCCTCTTCTCCTTCGGACTTCCTGCGTACTCAGAGCCAAGCCTCTCGTACTAAGAGTCCAGCGGCAGGCACAGCAAGTGAGTTGGTACGCCGCGCTGCAGCTGTACAGTATACGTACAGGCTCACACACAGCACTTGAGTTTTGCCTTTGACCTGTGACTGCAAGATACTACAATCGGGTGCTCTGCTTGTGTACGTCAAGGGTCAATGCTGCATAGGGTTTGTTCTGCTTGCGCGACACACTGCGGAGAGAGCACGCACCATCTCAAAAACAAGCTAGGACATTCCTTTTCGACCACAAGCTTTAACACTTCTTCGGGAACCGATACGGGACAATCGTCAACATCCACAAGCCTACATCCCCAAGATTTAAGCGGTTCGTGTCGCTATGCTTACGAGTAGGTCAGGCCGCCGAAGGAGCTCACGCAGGCGATCAAGCCCGGCTTTCCGTCCCGATCCTTCACCGACTTGATCATGAGGGGCGCCGCGAAGCACGAGGCCATGTAGTGGCTCCTAAGACCAACCGTTATCAGAGAGTCCCACGCGTCCGCCTGGGTGTTTGTATTCGAGCCCCAACCAGAACACCAAATGAAGCGTTTTGCGGCGTTCTCATCACATGTTGTTATCGTCCATCAAGGAGATTAGTATCGCTCGTGGAGCCCCGAGTCTTCGGTCAGTGCAACAAGTCCAACTGAAACGACCCCCTCCCGTCGATGTAATCACAAGGTGTTTGTTGTGCTGCTTCTGCGTCGACCAAGAGGGCCGGAGTCACGCGCCCGGAATGTTTTTGCGTCCCTACTCTTACGCCTGACCACCAAAGGGTAGGTTGTTCTTCGCGCTTGGGGGGAGCGCCCCTCCCGCAAACAGAGTAGGGGTGCTGCCCCATCAACAGAGTAGAGGTGCTGCACGTGTGCTTAAGGCCGCCACCTTCGATGATGAGATGCGCACTGGGACGGTACCCTGAACTTTCCTTGGTTCATCTACGCCAAGTGCTTGAAGCAGTGGGAACCACAGCAACAAAACACAGCAGCGAAGCCGACCTTCCTTGAAAGAACGCATGCCCCGAGAAAATACATAACTGCGTGCGTGTGTAAAGCCAAACAAACTATCGCGCTCCCCTCACCCCCTGCGTCCAGAACTTGGCCTGGAGTTGATCTCCCGGGCCTAACGCGAAGGCGTTGTTCACGAGAATGTCCAGCCTGCCTTGCTCCGACTCCACCCTCTCGAACAACGCTTTCACCTGCATGGAACGAGCCACCACACGAGAACCTGGGAGCTAAGAACTCAGGCTAAAACGAAGGTAACTGCAAGAACTCAACCCGCAAGACCTTAGAATAGGTGCACTAAAACCTATTGTAGTCGATTTTGGGATCAGCCGGCCACAAAATCAAGGAAACTCCCTCGGCTAAAGACATGTTTTTTTCACAGACGTGGTGGCTCGTAGAAAGTACAACATAAGGAGGGGTTCAACCTTAAGGACACTTCCCCGGAATAAGGAGGGGTATCAACCTTAAGGACACTTCCCGGCTTAAGGACACTACTTATAGTAAAAATCCATGTGCGTCCTTAACCGATGTTCGACTGTACCTGCCCTACAGTGGACATACGAAACTAGGCTCGGAGCTAGTAAGAGGTGGTGCCTCCTGCAGTGAGCAACGGGAGAATAGGCCACAACGTTCCACGTCGAAAACGGTAGCAACCAGTATATTTTGTGGGTAACCAGCCCATCCCAGTCTTCGGCGCACGCCGTGAACAACGAACGTGGTGCTTGATCCTTGAGGTATGAATCGAAGACTTTCCGATATACTGCTGTGGCCTCGCCAGGGGAGTTCGAACGAGGCGGGCGTGTATCGTTGACGAGTGCGATTCTAGCTGGTGTCTGTTGAAGCGGGATTGAGGTGTTGCAACAAAGGCGGCGGAATGGTCGCACGAGAAATACTTTTTTGGCACGCGTGCGCTACGGTTCGTTGTCAGAGGCAGACGTGCAAAAGAGCGACGGCAGGAGGAGGATTCAAAGCAAGCTGTGGTTCGTTGTCAGAGGCAGACGTGCAAAAGAGCGACGGCAGGAGGAGGATTCAAAGCAAGCTGTAGCGGTTGAAAAGGGTGTCGAGAGACTTTTGAGGAACTCATACAGGCAAAGCATGTCATCGGGACGAGAAAGAACAAAACACAGACGTTCATGCCGAAGAAGCTTCTCGTCACGACGGTCTGCTGACGCTAGATCTAACTAAGCAACGCTGTCGTGCCGAACCAACGCTGGTTTCCGTACACACGGCTTGATGGTGAGCCGGCGGCAAGAATCTGCCGATGTGTATGCTACGTGCTAAGCTGAGGGGTTTCTGCACTAAAACCAAGACCCCCTGGTATCCGTCAAGGGTCTGGATGCCGCTACCACCGCTTCTGGGGCAGCAAACGATTGGAGGCACCGTATTCAGCCAGGAAAGCAAGACCCGGAGCAAACAGGTGTGCGTTTTGCGATGAGTCAGGCCGCTCCACGAAATGCAGTCCGTTGACGTGTGTGTGCGTTCCGGACCTGTTCGTCTTTAGCGTGGTCACATGCAACAGGAATCCCTTTTCCGCCGGCGGCCTCGATTTCGGCAGCGGTCTCCTCCAAGCTTCCTCCTATTTCCTGTAGTGCGCGAGAATCGGGTGGGAAAAGTTTGTTACGGGAGCGCACGATTGCATGGGGGAGTTGTAACACAGTTCCGGCATGCATAAAATTCAGGCTCGTTCTCCATCTCTCTTTTGCTGCCGCAAGGCATTCGCTACACTTCAAACCTTTCAAAAATGACTTGGAGCAGTACATCTTTGCTGATGCTTTTAACTTCAGATTGGCAATCGGCGCAGCCATGTCAAAATAGGGATGCCACTGCTGTGTTCGCCACTGGTTGCTCAATGACGCTATCAAAGCAATGCGTGTCGATTCGCAGCCTCTCGACGCGTGTGAGGTTCACGGCATGTACCGCTACACTACTGCTGTACAACACAAAGACCTTTTTTAGCCGCCCGTTTCAAAGTCTGCTTTTGCGTAGCAACCAACCAAAGACCTGTCTCCTGCACGCCAATGCTTGACACACGAGGATCCGTTAGGAGCCTTTATCCCCTGGCCAACCTGCCTTTGGCATGTCCTTCGATACAAGAATCCTCGACATCAGAGTCACGGAGTGTGCCTCTCGTTGGACCAAAAACGCCGGGCAATCTTGACCACACCGATGTTTTGAACGACTCTAAATTACATTAAATAATCATACCACAGAAGAGCTCTGTAAACACGGGCATGGGTTCTTGGGGCAACGGTGTGCTGCCTTGACTGGTGGGACGGCGTTTGGGGACAGCTGGCGTGAGGGGTAGGACGCCATGCGATGTGCAGCTCTCGACAGCGGTACGTGGAGTTTGGTGCGAGGGATGGTGCTCCTAGACCATGGGTCTGCTGTGCGAGGCCTAACTAACTACAGCAGTTCGCCCAGAACAAACGTCGGAAGTCTACCGACATGTTCATATATGGAACCCTTAAGTAGTGTCGAACCATAGCATGTGTACCTGGGTGGTGCATCAGCAGGTGGACCGCATTAGTGGCAAAGGCACATGGTTTAAACTACAACAAGGTGGGATTTTCCATGGCGCCATGAACAACCAAACCATCACACCCTGACGTTACGGTACTCGCTCCCATGTGACCTGCTTTCTACACCACCTATGCATACCATGACGACTTCAATAACGTAATCGATCCGAGTGCGAATAATCCCCTCATGTACATTCATTTCTTGACACCCCAGAGCGACTTGCCTTGTCCGTTGTATTGCCCCCAACAGATCGGCCTGTAACGTAGACCGTGCACCCACGCTGTCCGAGTGTCACCGCTATCCCCTTCCCGATGCCTCTGGATGACCCCGTCACGACTGCAACCTTGCCTCGTAGATTATCATCACCCCCAGCAGCAGCAGCAGCATCCGATGATGCCGCCAAGCGCAGTGGAGCCAACGAGCGCCGGCGGCAGGTGCTGCAAATAGGATGCCTGCGCTGGGTTGCCGCTGATGGTCTTGAGAGCACCGAGGTCGCGCTGTTGGTGGTGGTGGCGGTTGGTGGTGTCACCGCATAGAAGGCGCCTGTTTCTGGCGCGAGAAGGATCACCGTCGCCACGGCAATCCGACAAGGCTTTCGCAGCAGCAGCAGCATCGTCATGGAGCTGAGAGAGGCCGCGGCGAGGACCCTGGATGATGATGAGCAGCCTCACGCGTATGCTTTGGGCTACAGCCAGCAAGCGGGCAGCCTGTAAGACTCCTCCGCAGCAAGGAGTAGGTGGCACTGGCTGTACTATCGCTGAGCGGGAGACAGAGCAGCTGCTGCGTGCAGCGGGCGTGCCACTGTCCCGCCCGACCCGATGCCGCGTTCCGTGCAGTTGCGCAGTTGCGCATGTTTGATTCCCCCGCATTTTCTATTTCGCCGCAATTTATGTGAGAGATCAGCTCGTCAGCTAGCTACTGCTGTGGTATCTTTACATCGTTCTGCCCGCGCTGCCCAGCTTGGCTCGCGGGAATGAAGGCCGCTCACAGCTTCGGTACAGATCTCCTTGTGCTCTTGTTGGCTTTGTTCAGTACCGCGGAGGGGTGGGGCGCGATCAAAGTACACCATCCATACCGCAACCGGGTGAGTACAACGAGAACGAGCTGTTGGTGCAGTCGAAGTGTGGACTGGACTCCACCAAGCGATCAGTCTACGGACCGGTCTACAGCAGTACAGTATGTCGACTCTAAACCATAACCCACGCCACAGCACAAGGCAGCTTGATAGCATGATGTCTTTCCTACTTTCCCTCGGACCTAGTCAGTCAGTCCTAAACCGCGCTCCATGCTACAGCACCAAACGGCCATGTGTCTGTAGTACCCTCAACTGGCGATCACGCAACAGCCGTTTGGTTGACGTTGCATTCCAAGGTCAGGCGTAGTTCTGTACAAGTAGGTGTCCTCGTTGATTCGCGCACGAATGGGCCACAGCAGCAGCAGCAGCAGCAGCAGCAGCAGCAGAAGCAATATCAGCAAGATGCATCCAAAAGCACAATGGCCACTAGACCACAAGTCAGCGCTGACTGTAGTGGTCTTGTGGTCATCGTGCTTTGCCTGTAAGTCAAACCTCCGAGGGGCGAAGTGAACATCTCTGGAGATGTTGCCTTGACCTTGACCTGCGGCTCTAGTCTAGCCCATGTAGTCTAGGCGTACACACTGCTGTCAGCCTATGCAGTCTAGGCGTAAAGTCAATTTCCATAAGATTGTCAAGTGGGTGTCAAGCTCGACCTACTGCTGTACATAGCCCGGCTCAGCCAGGGCTCCGGGTGTTTGAAGTTTGGATGGTTGACCTTGCAGCTGGCCTTTGTGGGCAACAATATTTTGCTAGCTGTGGTACCAGGTACTTTGTACAACATGCAGAATCTTGACACAACTTCACCGTCAAGCTATTGTACCTTTCGATTGTCTCTGCTGCTGTTGTGTTTCGTCCAATCCACAACTCGCACCGCACGCACGGCGCGTCAAAGTTTGCCTGTTCTGTATGTACCCCACGGGGAGAGACGTAACGCCCATGGCCGGCACACCTCGCATCTCTCGTCGTATCTAGACTACCCGGTGTACTTGCTTCGTTAATTGATTCCTTGGACAATTGATTCCTTCGTCAATTGATTCTTCCGCAATGCTTCCGTCACAACTGCTCCGTGCTTGAAGGGCGATCCAACTACCCTCCGAGGAAAGCACCCCATCAACAGCATCACGGCTTTCGGCACAGCAGCAGGCGCAACAAAAAGCAAGCTCCCCCGGAATGCGATGCTTCTAAACAGCAGCAGCAGCAGCAGCAGCCAAGGAAAGAGGGAGAGCGCTTTACGACGGCAAGGTCGAGTCAGACAAGAAGGAGAGCGGGCCGACCAACAACAGGACCATGTATTCGCCCGTTTCCCAGACACGAGCGATAAGAAAGCGTGGGTGCTGGTAATACCGCTGGAAGCTGGAGTTGTCAAGGAGGTTGCGGAAGAGCTCGGCGCGCTCAACGCCGCACGTGAGAGCTGTCTCAATGGACATCTTTATTATAGCAGTAATTCCCGCGCGGAATCAAGACGAGAAAATCAAGTACTCTGTCCGTTGACCCCCTCGTAGTAAGCTTCGGCGTTTGGAGACGGGAGCATGTTTTGAGTTTGCTGACGTCCCGCAGTCTCAGCAAACCGCCCTTTTTCATGGTCGCAACAATCGCCGCCGTGTCTGCTTGTGATTGGTCCGTTTCACAGGCTCGAAAGAGCAGCAGTACGCGGGCGAGATCAGCACCCACTTTGCAGTTCTCCTGCAGGTGGGAGATGGCCGCTGCTTGATTCTCGAGCGCCGGGGGGAGGGCGGTGTGACCGCTTCCGATGTCCACCCCTCCCAGGTAAAGCACAGGGCGGTGCGCAGCGAGGCGAGAGTGGTGTCCTCTCTCGAAGAGATCGCTTCGGGTTTCTTCCGACGGGAGAGGGGGCGGCAGTTCGACCTCGCGAACAACAACTGCCGGAACTTCGCGCACAATTTCTACCGCGAGTTTTGTGAGGGCACGCCGTTCTCGGGTGCAGGTGGCGGCGGCGGCGACGGTGATGGTGACCAGAGTACAAGCGACGACGTTGAGAGCTTCTGCCGCTGGGTAGAACAGATGGACCGCAAGGACGGCTTGTGACCCCCGCCTCATGTCCATCGAAGATTTGCTTGTAAGAATTACGGTGAACCAGGCACCTAAGGATCGCGGATCTCGGACAGCAGCGGAGAATACTTTCAAACGCCCTTGCAAACAGCACTGTTGATGTACCCGTTGGCTCTTTTGATTTAAATTTAGACTAGTGTGATTAATCTTTATTTCAAACAAGGTTTGTGGAGGTAGACCGCATGATGTATGTATAGAACAGCCTCTACTGCCGCCCTATGCGAGAATCAACGATTTATATTTTTCCCGATGCCTTCCGACTGGTCTTGAGTGTCTCGTGTGCATTTTCTGGTGCTCCTGCGGATAATTTCAAAACCAGTCAACATCGGTTGGCATCAGGCCGCTTGATTCCGCAAGTAAGGCAACGTCAGTGTTTGCAGTAGTATCGAAACTCAAAGAGACCAATGCAGAATATGGCGCACTAAACCCGACGCACACAAACGACTATTCGGTGTGCTCGAGCGAGCCTGGGAATAGCAATAAAAGTGCTGTTCCATCATTTGGTACATATGCACAATAGGCGGCGGATCGGTCACGGTGACACTCCGGTGGCCTAACCCGCTGTCCCATTCTCGTACTTGTGGCGTGCGTCCTACACGCCACTGCCGTACAGAACTGCTGTGCAGAAGACTTTGCCGTGAGGGTAATGCTGTTATGTACGCAAAACGACCCGTACCATAAATCAAACATGTACGATGGTGAGCACATGCAAGAAAACCTGCTTACCGTGGGCCTGTGTGACCCTTGGTGGTAATTCAAACATCGCGTACACCGAAAGTTGTAGACTCGTGTCCAGCATCGTAGGACACACACAAACACAAATGCTACGGTATCTGTCTATAATCCGGAGAGTAGCGTAGACTCCCCAATGACGTCCCGTCAAAGGGTCCCAGATCGTGGCCGATGGGAGCATTTTGTATTTTCAACGGTACCGAAACTGATTTTTCATTGGTCAGCCGGCTAGCGCACGATGCTTGGTAAGAAAACACACATCTTTTATACCCACAAAAAACTCATTTGTGCACCAACCTATTGCCGATACACCGCACCACGACAAGAACACAAACGCTACTATTACAAACAAAGCTTTTCCTACTTGTACAGAGTGGATACACTACCCTCCCGGCCCGCATCGTGCATCAAAAAGGTCGACTTTGTCACGACAAGCCAAGTGATGACGTAGTTCGGCACACTAAATAATTGAGTCGACAGCAGGCTCGACGCATAACCTAGGCAAACTACTTGTACTGCTGTGATGCACGAAGTCAAGGTTTCTTGATTGAGAGAGCGGGCCTCGACGCGTCTGGTTCAATTCCTTCCGAACTCTATAACTCCCCTCGCTGAATATCCACCGGGTTTTGCAACAATGGCCTCGATTCGTCATCATCCGAGACACCTCCGTCGTCATCGAACTCCGGGCGGTGGCCGCTTGGCAGCGCCTGTTCTGAGACAAAAGCCATCAACGCAAGCGGAAGAACAGCGGTGGGGGGGGGGGCACTGTCAGTGTTGTGAGCCTGTGCATTGATTGCAAAAGCTGAGGGTCGAAAACAACCAAGGTGACTCTTTTCCCTGGTCCCAAGCCTTCGTGCTTGGCAAGCAGCACCGCCTGAGAAACAACCAAGCCGAGTTGACGCGAAAGTCGGCGGGACAAATGGAAAACACAACAGAACCGGAAAAGGGGACCAGGTCATGGTTCGTTACGAAGCGGGATATGACCTCTCTTGGACATAACGACAGCGGATGTAAAGCGGTTCGAACCTCACGGGGTGTGCCGCATATGTACATGACAGCATGGCGTGGTGTGAAAGCAGTTCCAAGTCCGAAGCGTTTTCTTGCCCATGTACTTCATGACAGCATGGTTTGTTATGTGAAAATGGGGTTCGAAGTTCCGAGGTATGTAGGCAGCACACGACAAGCCTTTTCCTCGCCTGAGCGGTGATCCCACCGATGATGCCGACGACGCACAGCCCGATCGCGATAACCTCGTTGGAGAAGGGCGTCGCCACCCAATAGGACGCCCCGATAGCCCCGCACCGCGCAAGGGCATTGCTCAAGGCGTGCCCCGTCGACCTAATCTGGGTGGGGTAAAGCTCAGGCCTGAATCGAGGTATAGGACATGGGGGGAGGAGGGGCGGCAGTAGCGTACATAGGCGACGGTTGGACACAAGTATACCCCCCCCCCGCACACACATGTCCCAGGTCAATGGTCTAACGACTACAACATGCCACGTTTATGTGAGTACTCTCACCCCCCCCCCAGGGGGCGCCGCGAGTGTAATACACGGTAAACTTAACTGAGATACCGAGCCAACCTGCAAAAAACACCAGTATTGGGGTCCGACCCGTTCTATCTCAACGGCGTGCCTTGTGACCCCCGGGGATGACTGCACGCATGCACCGATGTATGGAAGTGAATATATCAGTACATGAAGTATACCGATCGACTGGGGTAATGATGGGAGAAGGTACACCACGAGCAAAAACACACACGATTGGAAACAGTCTAGATCATTCACGGTCCGGAAACGGACCCCACATTTTTTGGAAAGCTACGCTTCTGCCGTGATCTGGGCTCTCGCGTGCTCGATGGTCTCTAAGACAAGCAACGAGCGCGTACACCACGCACCCCTTCCCGGAAAGCAAAGCAAGGACTCACGTTACTATCCACGCCATGCAAGCGGACACGTACGACGCCCCTCTGGCGAAGAAGGACGTCACCAGGAGCCACGCCATCGCGCTGTTCACCGGCATCAGGATCGTCATCACTGCCGAAACCGTGAAGTTGATCGACATGCTCAGTCGCCGGCCGAGACGATCCACGTAGAACCTCGACAGGACGTTTGCCACCAGTTCGCTGAGAGGGGGTATCAGACAGACCCGGAGGGGGCGGGGCGGGGGTCGGGCGGTAGGTAGTGGCTCAGCCTCAGGCGGTAAGAGGACATGGAGTGAAGTTGGAACACGATAGGAAGCCGCAGTGATTGGTCACCATAGACAAACACGGACCTTCTTGCGGATCCAAGGGCGACCTGCACCCAAAGAAAACGCCTGTGACGTCATATCCGAATAAGCAGTACTGCTAAAAGTTCTAGCCTCATATAGGTGAAAGAACTCTGAGCCAAGAAGTAAAACCGTGCATACTTGTTCGTCAAGACTGCTGTCTGGTGGGTGTCACTGGACAACTTTTTTTACGACTTTCGGCGTTAGGTTTGCCGCGCTTTCTTGGGGCGGAAACATATCACCGCGAACGTTAGGCGCACCTAGCACAAGCGCCACCGGATGTATGCCGTAGCGAGCGTTGGGTATGCGCNTTCTAGCCTCATATAGGTGAAAGAACTCTGAGCCAAGAAGTAAAACCGTGCATACTTGTTCGTCAAGACTGCTGTCTGGTGGGTGTCACTGGACAACTTTTTTTACGACTTTCGGCGTTAGGTTTGCCGCGCTTTCTTGGGGCGGAAACATATCACCGCGAACGTTAGGCGCACCTAGCACAAGCGCCACCGGATGTATGCCGTAGCGAGCGTTGGGTATGCGCGGCAATGTACCGACGTAGAGCCCCTCATAAAAGAAGCGTGAGAAAAACGATTCGCTGCCGTCAGAGAAAGACGTGCACAAGCACCACAAGCATCGAAGCGATACACGTATACGTATGGCGGCATCGCGAAGTTATTCTGGACTTCTTGGCCTATGGATAGAGATCAGTGATGTTATGGTTGTCTTGACAATTAAAACTGGTCCGATATCTCTATCTATCCAGTACCTCCCTCTGTCCGTACTAGTCAAACACTTGACGCGGTCGATTCCGGTGGTCACAGAATAACGAACCCTGGAAATGCATACTGAAATAACAATAGGCCAGAAGATGTTACAATTCCGGAAAATAAAATTAACCTCTGCACCTGGCCGAGGCGAACAACAGGATGGAGTAGTCGAAAGAACACTCATCGCTTTCCCCCAGGATCTTCGACGACAGCAGAATGACCCCGTAGTACAGGAAGCCGAAGGCTGCCCAGATGATGCACGACACGATCGTTCTTGACCTGAGGTCGGGTCTTCGCCAGAGGTCCGCCACGCCGCCATGCCTGTCCTTCGGTTTCTGCAGAAAACAGGGGAAAAAAAGGAAAAAGGAAGGATTGTTGAATTCGTCAGTCAAGCCATGCCTGTGCTTCGGTTTCTGCAGAAAACAGGGGAAAAAAAGGAAAAAGGAAGGATTGTTGAATTCGTCAGTCAAGCCATGCCTGTGCTTCGGTTTCTGCAGAAAAAAATGGGAAAAGGAAGGGTATTTGAATTCGGCGAGCCATGCCTGTGCTTAGGTTTTCTGCACAAAAAAACGGGAAAAGGAAGGGTATTTGAAATCGTCAGTCAAGCCACGCCTATCCTTCGGTTTCTGCAGAAAAATAGGAAAAAGGAAGGATGCAGAATTCGTGAAGCCATGCTTGTGCTTCGGTTTCTGCAGAAAAAGACGGGATAAGGAAGGGTATTTGAATTCGTCAGTCAAGCCACGCCTACCTTTTGGTTTTTCTGTAGAAGAAAAAAAAAGAAACACGAAAGGCCCCTTGACTTGGTTAAGCGTAAGTAGAAAGCAACACCCCGTGCATTACCGTTCTACTGTGCGACCCCGGCTGATACACGTCAAGGGCGTAGACTGGCGCCGGAATGCATGAGACGAAATCACACAAGAGCTTGTGAAGAGAGATGGGATGCCCATGGGCAGAGACTGTTGTCAACCCCCCCCAAGGTCAAATTCTTGGAAAATTACGGACAGGCTGACTGATCGAGGGATGGGTTCAGCTTACTGTTCTCGTTCGACGTGAAACGAAAGTCTGGAATAAAACTATAATATCGAAAATGTCCACCGCCCAAAACCCCATGTACTACCACAGTTAGACCTGTTGTCTCTTTCGCTTCCGCTATTTTGTATTTCGAAAGGACATGAATGAAACGATCAAAATGAAAAAGGCAACGGAGACAAAATAAATAAAGCAACAGCAGTCACGCTCTCCCACATGATGGCAACACCTTTCCACGTTTCTCTCTCGTTACCGCTTCTGATTTGTTTTGTTATGCTCGCATTTTGACAGAGCAAATCAAAAGAAGGGCGAACA